AGTATCTCTACAATATTTCGCATGTAGTATCGTCATTAGTAGCCAAACTTTTAAATCTACACGCCTTCCATGCGGTAGTTCAGTCCTATGAGCCATGAATGGAATTAAACTACTACTGTTGGGCATAATATCACTACAAGAACTTTTATAGGCATTTTACTGAGATGGCACTTTCCGACTGGTTGGATAACAACCAATCAAAGTGTAAGCTATCACAAAACGTGGTATTTCCCTTTAATATCCCCCCCCCCCGTTTTCTAAATTATCTCCAATATTATAAAATATATATATATATATTAGTTTTTGTATTCAAGTTTCGTTACTGTTTACTTGTAATAATGATTAATTGAGCTTTGTAATGTATGAAACAAACAGCATAACCCCTAGTGTTATCATTATAACACTTGTATTAACACCATAGTATGAACAAGAAACACTTGGACGAGATAAACAACATTAGCCCCTAGTGTTAGCATTATAACACTTGTATTAACACCGTAGTATGAACAAGAAACACTTGGACGAGATAAACAACATTAACCCCTAGTGTTAGCATTATAACACTTGTATTAACACCATAGTATGCACAAGAAACACTTGGACGAGATAAACAACATTAACTCCTAGTGTTAGCTTTATAACACTTTTATTAACACCATAGTATGAACAAGAAACACTTGGACGAGATAAACAACATTAGCCCCTAGTGTTAGCATTATAACACTTGTATTAACACCGTAGTATGAACAAGAAACACTTGGACGAGATAAACAACATTAGCCCCTAGTGATAGCATTATAACACTTATTAATACCGTAGTATGAACAAGAAACACTTGGACGAGATAAACAACATTAACTCCTAGTGTTAGCATTATAACACTTATTAATACCGTAGTATGAACAAGAAACACTTGGACGAGATAAACAACATTAACCCCTAGTGTTAGCATTATAACACTTGTATTAACACCATAGTAGGAACAGGAAACATTTAGATGAGATAGACAACATACAATTAAGATATTCAAATTCGATGACGAGATATGTCAGTGTGTAATAATACAATTAAAATATGTCAGTGTGTAATAATACAGTTAAAATATGTTAGTATGTAATATTACAATTAAAATATGTTAGTATGTAATATTACAATTAAAATATGTCAGCGTGTAATAACTCAATTAATATGTGTCAGCGTGTAATAACTCAGTTCAAATACCTGCCTGTGTGTATAATGAATCAGTTAAAATATGACAATGTGTAATATTTCAGTTAAAATATGACAGTGTGTAATATTTCAGTTTAACTATGACAGTGTGTAATACTTCAGTTAAGATATGACAATGTGTAATATTTCTATTGAAATGTGCCAATACGTTCAGAAATGATTGATTGTTTAGTTAAGTGTTTCTGTTTCTTTGGTTCTTTTTTTTTTATATAGTCGTTAAAGCAGGCTGCTTTTGTTCTTAAATTAGATCCATGGTGAGAACAGTCGTCTATTTGTAGCTGGAACGTCTGCTATTGTCACACTTGATGCTATCTTTTTTCCTGTTACGCACATAATAAATTCTTTGTGACAGCATGTTGGGGTGGTTTTAATCTGTCATAAACTCACTGTTTATAAACAAAAGCGATCATAACAACGTTTGACAGTTTTCAGTCAACCACGTGCGTACCTTTTACATGTCATTATGAGTCAGTATGCTCTATGGTTTGTGTTTAGGTTTAACATAGGTTGGTGTTGATCGTCTGTACTGACATGCCATGGTATACCATTATGAGTCAGTATGTTCTATGGGTTGTGTTTATATGTGACATAGGTTGGTGTTGATCGTCTGTACTGACATGCCATGGTATACCATTATGAGTCAGTATGTTCTATGGTTTGTGTTTATATGTTAACATAGCTTGGTGTTGATAGTCTGTACTGACATACCATGGTATACCGTTATGAGTCAGTATGTTCTATGGGTTGTTTTATATGTCATATAACTTTGTGTGAATTTCCATATGTTGAACTCCAAAGAGCGCCCCCACCCCGAGTGGCTCAGTGACAAGTCTACGTACAACACTAAAAACGGTGTTTCGATACTCTTGGTAGGCACAGCACAGATAGCCTATTGTGTAGCATTGTGCCGTCAAACAAAAAGTTTATCAATAATATAACCATTTAATATTACTTATACAACTCTGTTATAAATTTTAAAGTCTTGCTGATCTCCCGATTTAAAACTTTGGAGATTTAGGGTTTATAATCGTAATTAATTAGCCAAGTTATGGATTTGTATACAGTTAGTATATCTACCTCTCACAAGAGGGCGACTCTATCAACAATAAAGTTTTCTTTGTTAAATAGCTACGTTTGCTGCGTACATCTAACTCGTACTTCTAGGTTATACGTCCCCAAGCTTACCACTGAGCATCGAGAATCCGGACATAAATTAAAAACTAGAATGAACAAATTTCCAGGTTTATACTCACGGGTTTCTACTTTCTGAAAACTAATTACTTTCCGAGAAAAGTCTTTATATTCAGTGTTGTTGATACAGGCGCCTTCTTCATAAAGGTAAAATAACTGAATTAGGGCTTGGTAAACTAACCAAGATTATTCAATCTAAGTTTTACAGTTTTATATTGTTCTATAATATTGTTACAATAGGGCACGATTTCTTTAATTTGGTTATAGTACTGTTATTATAGGTTTGTTTCTGTAATTCGCGAAAAACCAAACAATGGCTGTCTACGCTAGCCGTACCTGATTTGGCAGTGATAGACGAGAGGAAAGTCAGTTCGTCAACACCACCCACCGCCAACTATTGGGCTACTCTTTTACCAACGAATTGTGGGATTGACCGTAACATTATAACGCCCCCACGGATGAAAGAACAGGCATGTTCTGTAAAGGGATTCGAACCCGTGACCCTCAGGTTGGAGTCGAGCACTCCTAATCACTTGGTTATGCTAAGCCCGTTACAATATAACACGATGTTATTAGTTTGACTATAGTATTTTACGATATGACACATTTTTTTACTTTGATATAGTTTCGTCAGACTATATTTACAGAACATAGCCATACTCCAAGAGCAGTGTCATAGCGAGGGTGTCTGGTGCCCGGGGACGAAACATACCAAAATATCCTAACTTCACCTACTCTTATTTTCTAACCTAACCTAACCCTACCTACCGTGGTATTGTATCTCATGCTGTCATGAAATACAATAGGCCTTAGTCTTAAATAAAATAATAAAACGACGATCAACGTTTTTTACTTGCACAAACATTTATTTGTAAAATTAAAAATATATAAGTTAAAAGAAACTTAAAACTCTACATATTTCGAAAGTTTAAAATTAAGGTGTAGACGTGACAGTTTTGAAAAAGTCTTGATAATCTTAAAAATTATTAATCCTATAGTTGATAGCAAGAAGATTTTTGAATTTATCACAAAACTAAATAAATCTGATGTTCAAAAAACATTACGAAAAACTTTAGAAGTCAGAAAGCAGCATCAGTAAAATGTTTACCAATAGATGGCAGCAGTAGCTAGATTGTATCTTGGAAATCGCATAAAATACCTTCACTATAAAGGAAAAAAAAAGTGTTATTCTATATAAGTTTAAAGACCAAAACTTTTGGACTTTACTAATATTTTTAAACGATTTATAGCAGATTCCGTGGGTAATACAAATAAAGTTCTTTTAGTCATAAAGAAGAAATGAACAAATAAAAACACAAGATAGAATGTGTAGTATTTGAAAAAAACAACTAATTTCACTCACACAAATTTGGTTATAATAGTTTTAAAAAATAAACACAGGCTAGTTTAGTTCCAGGATAGTAAGGGAAATCTTTCGTTAATTAAAAGTAGTTTTTAGTTTCCAGATTAAATATACATTTGTAACTAGTCCTTTCATTTTTTATATAGTTATGTTTCGTATTTCAAGTCAGCTACGGTAATGTTCCTTAATGGTAAAGGTCAAGTGAGAAGAAAATCGGGATTTTTATTTGTCCCTGTTGGAAGCGCGGATGTGAGGAATAATGCAAATGAAGATGAAAATTAATTTATAACGTGTTTAAAACACATTTTATAAGAACCAGTTTTAAAAGTTTTTGATAAATTAATTTTCATAAGTCAGGTATACAAATCAACGTCCTTGAAAGGTGTGATGTGTTAATTTTGGCTTATACTTCAAACTTGGAATGGACTAAGCCATATTTTGGATTACATTCACATTTATAACAGATCAAAGTCTGATTTTATGAATAACAAGATGTATGCCGAAATAAAATGGATAAGAATTCGTGACGAAAATAATGCTGTCTGATGTGGCTGGTTAAATTCATCTCTGAGCTCCAAGACTGAAGTTGTATAGATTTGTATTGTTGTAACGTATTCTATCATTAGATAGGTTATTTGGTCAACATCCTGATTAGCAGCTTTATTTAGAAAACGACTAACATTGAAAATATAGCTTAAAATAGTAAATTATCTTTTACACTCTAAATAAAAAGATTGCCATGCGATGTGCTTCCGTTTTAATGAGCACATTACTTCTGTTGTCGAAAATAACTCTTAAACTAATGAAACTTAAAGTTTACAGCTTTAGTTTTTATTCTATCTTTCTAAATCCAAATCTATACAACGGACTCTCTGTACTCTTCCACCGCGAATGTCAAGCCCGCTTTTTAGCTTTATGAGCCCTCAGACTTCCGCTGATTGGCCTGAAGAATACAATGTATTTAATCAAATTTGTTTTTTATTTATATTTTCAAATGTACCTAAATATGTATGTATTTATTATGAATATATATATATATATATATTACATTTATTTTAGGACAAGCCTAAATTGCATCAGTAATTTTAAGCAATATAACTGTTTGACTTTATTTGTTGTTTTGAAAATACTTCATTGTTTTTAAATACGTTTTTATGAAAAATAAATATAACAGAACTATGGTATGTGCTTTCATGCATCAGACCGGACAATACAACATCGGCGCAAAGTTTTGCCCAGCAGGTGGTGCTATTGGCTTACTGAAGTATTCTTAACTAGAGTATTTTCAAATTAAAAGTACATTAAAATTTAATAAACACTATTTAGAAAACATGGCAAAACATCATCCAGATTTGATATTTTGTAGGAAACAGGCTGGTGTTGGTATGTTCATAATTTTAATCTTGATTTTTCTGTATAATTCTTAGAAATACGCTAGTGTTTGTGGACTCGGTTAGGCCCAAAGGCTAAAGCAGCTTAAATTAAATATAACATTACTCTTTACTTCAGTTCATGTAAAATGTGAGTGTGAAACCAAACTGAAAATCTTAAACATCGTAATAGTACTGTCTTTTATTTTCGGCTTTTGTTAACTGATTTCAGTTACTACTTGGAAGTTTGATTATGTAGAATATTTTGCGAATTGTGAACAGTTATACATAAGTTAAAACCTATTTAAAATGAAAGCCAAACCAATGTTAATTTTAATAATATAGTCACTAAAGTTTCGGGTATAGCACTTTCAGACTTACATAGTTTTGACCTTAAGAAGTTGCAGAAAATCTTATCTTAATATTTTTTGGCAATAAAACTTTTCAGTTCATTGCATAATTTACTAATAAAGGCAATGATGTAGTTATTTTGAATAAAATAGATATTAAAGTTTACACAGAAAAGCTTTATTTATTCTGAATGATTGTACTGTTAATATTTTTCACTTTAATTGTTTCCTAAATAATTCAAGATAAATTTAATATACATCTTGAAACCTCAAACTTATAAAAGTATTTTGGTTGGGGGGGGGGGGCTTCATGAAAACAGGGGTCAAAATATTACAACTATACTTGACGAATATCATATTTTTAGTTGGCTTTCACAATCAGGAATGCATGGTCCATCCGTATTCCTTTAGTTATGACCTATGACAGTAAACATATTGCATGGATTAAATAAAAAAACAATTCATGAGGGAATGTAATGTGGTTAATATAAACAACTTGTTAGAAGAAATAGTTTCTTCATTTCATTGATAAAACTAATAATAAATATTTAGAGGCTTTTAATGCTTGGAGACGACTTGAATGGGAAATGAAGGAAACTTTAATATAAGTTTAACAAAACAGCAAATGTACAAGGTTTTATCATCTGTACCTGATGATGAAAAAACTTTGTCGAAACGTTGTACATTTGCTGTTATGTTAAACTTATATTAAAGTTTATCTTCATTACCCATGTAAGCCGTCTCAAAGTGGGTTCCTCGTCATCGAATTAGAGGCTTTATATACCTATAATATTAACATATGTACTACAACTATAGTAGTATAATATGTTTTACTGTATGCAATGAAACATACTTTAGAATTAAAGAAAATTACTAAAACTGTTTTATTTTGTCAGATTTATCCTCAAATTCAACTTGCAATTATTATAAGTTAATGTTTCATTTAAGTAATTACTTTAAATTTAAAGACAGTGTTCCAAATGTGCATTGCCCTTACTTCCCTGTTTAATTTAAATTTACATGACCGAGGTGTAACCATGGCTCTGTAGACTCTACAATTCAGTGTTTGAGTTAAAGGATTAAAAAGCATACATAAAATATTCCATATAATGAATCGGTTATTGTTGGACGTGGTCGTAAAATATTCCATATAATCAATCAGTTATAGTTGAACATGGTCATAAAATATTCCATATAATAAATCAGTTATAGTTGGACGTGGTCATAAAATATTCCATATAATCAGTCAGTTATAGTTGGACGTGATCATAAAATATTCCATATAATGAATCAGTTATTGTTGGACATGGTCGTAAAATATTCCATATAATCAATCAGTTATTGTTGGACGTGGTCATAAAATATTCCATATAATCAATCAGTTATTGTTGGACGTGGCATAAAATATTCCATATAATCAATCAGTTATTGGTGGACGTGGTCATAAAATATTCCATATAATGAATCAGTTATTGTTGGACATGGTCGTAAAATATTCCATATAATCAATCAGTTATGTTGGACGTGGTCATAAAATATTCCATATAATCAATCAGTTATAGTTGGACGTGGTCATAAAATATTCCATATAATCAATCAGTTATTGTTGGACTGACCACGTCCAACAATAACTGATTGATTATATGGAATATTTTATGACCACGTCCAACAATAACTGAGATTGATTATATGGAATATTTTAGGTTTGCCATTTTTTATTGTGACTGAACAAGTAAATGCAGAACCATGTTTGGTGAAAATATTCTGTTTCTTTTTCTGCTGAATACAACAGACATTAATACTATTTTTTTAAAAAACCTAAAATAAACTTCATGACCTACTCAGCCTTTAATTTTTAAATCACAAAAATGTTCATTGAAGTCTTTAATTGTAATAATTAATTGATGTTATCATTTTTGATCAGAAATCTTATATTTTCTTTTCTTATACAAGAGGTTTTTTTAATTTGTAGCATTTTCCAGAATACTGGGCAGTAGAAAGTACCTGTCTGGTAAACCACGTCCAACAATAACTGATTGATTATATGGAATATTTTATGGCCCCGTCCAACTATAACTGTTTGATTATATGGAATATTTTATGACCACGTCCAACAATAACTGATTGATTATATGGAATATCTTATGACCACGTCCAACAATAACCTATTGAATGAAAGAAACAACAGATATTCTTTACGTTTATAAAACTTAGACCCAGTTACATTGGAGTTTTTAACTCTTATCAATAAATATATAATTACACAAAGAAACTGCTACAGTGAATTAATATTACAGTAGAAATACCAAATATTGAATGAAAGAAACAACAGATATTCTTTACGTTTATAAAACTTAGACCCAGTTACATTGGAGTTTTTAACTCTTATCAATAAATATATAATTACACAAAGAAACTGCTACAGTGAATTAATATTACAGTAGAAATACCAAATTTACTAACCCACGTTATGATCGTTAAACAATTTTATATAATTAGTTATTTCACAGAAGTATATTTCTCTGCTAATATAAAGTTCTTTGGTGATATTATACACACATGTATATTTTAATTAAGTGTTGCTTTGAGCATATTTTTCGTTAGACGTTTCACAACTAAAAGATACATAAGACATACAGTTGAAGTAGGTTGTGAGCATTTATTTTTATGCCTTCAAGCTCATTTGTTTTTGAAAAGTAAAGTTTTTGAATATTGATATCTATCTATTTTCATTAGATTAAGATTGATGTCCATCTTTTCATTCGAGTAGTTTACATTCCCCTTAGATAATCACTTTATTTCAGTAAAATGGCTTTTTTTAATGGGTCTTTTAATGATATGCATTTATTGATTTACTGTATTAAATTTTTTTTTTTTCTTTCAGCCATTGGACGTCTTTGTGAAAAATGTAAGTATAAAAAAAAGCTATTCTCTTATATATATACAAGTCTGAAATATACCAAAATAGTTATTTTGTAATCAACAATTATCGATTGGAATTGGGGTAACTTAGTTTAGTGTTAATTAACTAAAACATAATGATTTCTGTATCATATTTATTCTGCCAGTACGTTATATCGTTTCTTAATTTATGGTTCGACTGTTTTCATTTTAACAGAAGTACTTTAACCTGGGGAAAAACTGTAAATTAAATAATGTTGGTGTAGTGATAAAAATAGTGGAGTGACGTTATTTGGAAAAACAGCATAGGCTTGAAATGGTTATATATTATACATGTATTTCATTATGAAAACATTTAAAAAAGCAGGACTTTATTATCATTAAAAACAAACTTGATTAAACAGAAACATTTGAATGTGTATGTAGCATTATTAGTGTATTTACATTCTGTAGTGCTGAATTGTTTAATAATTCCTTTTCAGTTGTATGATTAATAACTAAATGTTTTGTAGTTATGTGACATTTGAAGTTTGATTTTTGACCACTAGGTGATGGGAAGTGTGTCATCTGCGACTCCTACGTGAGACCCTGCACCTTGGTTCGGATATGTGATGAATGTAACTATGGTTCTTACCAAGGTAGATGTGTAATCTGTGGTGGGCCCGGGGTATCGGATGCTTACTACTGTAAGGAATGTACGATACAGGAGAAAGATGTGTGTGTGTTTGTTTTTACAAAATATGCTGATTCAGGAGAAAGATGTGTGTGTGTTTGTGTTTACAAAATATGCTTATTCAGGAGAAAGATGTGAGTGTTTTTACAAAATATGCTGATTCAGGAGAAATATGTGAGTGTCTTTGTTTTTACAAAATATGCTGATTCAGGAGAAATATGTGAGTGTGTTTGTTTTTACAAAATATGCTGATTCAGGAGAAAGATGTGTGTGTGTTTGTTTTACAAAATATGCTGATTCAGGAGAAAGATGTGAGTGTTTTTACAAAATATGCTGATTCAGGAGAAAGATGTGAGTGTTACACATCTTTCTCCTGAATCAGCATATTTTGTAAATTGTTTTTACAAAATATGCTGATTCAGGAGAAAGATGTGTGTGTGTTTGTTTTTACAAAATATGCTGATTCAGGAGAAAGATGTTTGTTTACAAAATAAGCTGATTCAGGAGAAAGATGTGTTTTTACAAAATATGCTGATTCAGGAGAAAGATGTGTTTTTACAAAATATGCTGATTCAGGAGAAAGATGTGAGTGTGTTTGTTTTTACAAAAACTTACCTATTTACAGATAAAGTGACCACAATGTAAATCACAGGACAGTTGGCTAACAACTGAAACTTACCTATTTACAGATAAAGTAACCACAGTGTGAATCACAGGACAGTTGGCTAACAACTGAAACTTACCTATTTACAGATAAAGTAACTATAGTGTGAATCACAGGACAGTTGGCTAACAACTGAAACTTATCTATTTACAGATAAAGTAACCACAATGTGAATCACAGGACAGTTGGCTAACAACTGAAACTTGCCTATTTACAGATAAAGTAACCCCAGTGTGAATCACAGGACAGTTGGCTAACAACTGAAACTTACCTATTTACAGATAAAGTAACCACAATGTGAATCACAGGACAGTTGGCTAACAACTGAAACTTGCCTATTTACAGATAAAGTAACCACAATGTGAATCACAGGACAGTTGGCTAACAACTGAAACTTACCTATTTACAGATAAAGTAACCACAATGTGAATCACAGGACAGTTGGCTAACAACTGAAACTTACCTATTTACAGATAAAGTAACCACAGTATGAATCACAGGACAGTTGGCTAACAACTGAAACTTACCTATTTACAGATAAAGTAACCAGAATGTGAATCACAGGACAGTTGGCTAACAACTGAAACTTGCCTATTTACAGATAAAGTAACCACAGTGTGAATCACAGGACAGTTGGCTAACAACTGAAACTTTCCTGTGGGAAAGAACGTAAAGAAAGCCACAGCAGTGCCACAAACAACAGCATTAGTTAACTGAACTTGTGAATTTTTGAGACATTCAGGATGGAATTATAATAAACGTAAATTCCTATAATGAAGATATTGGAATTTCCAGTTAAAAGAGTTGCCTGATAAAGCTTTTACTGTATGTTTATTAATTTTTCATTGAAAGCAGTGTTACAGTTGTTATGTGAGCAACCTTTCCTGTACGTTGATCATGTGGACATTTATACAAGTCTGTATATTAATTATCTAATCTACTATAAACTCTGTGAAGGTCAGGACTGATTTGGGAATTCTCTCTATAGATCTTAATAGAATAATCTGAAAAAAGAAAATTTTGTAACTTAAAATCGAGTTTAAATTACTGTTTGTCAACTTGTCTTTTGAGTTTGAGTTGAAATAGTTTTTGACTGTTACATTTATCCAAACTACACATCACCTGGTACTGTTGGTAGGATTGTAAATAACTGTAGTTTATATTGTACAATTTTATTTTTAGTTTAATAAATATAATAAGTTCCGAGTTAGAAAATTTAATACACGTGTAGATTGTACCAACTATTAAACGCTTATAAGTTTTACAACTACGTATATTAGTGTATTAAAACACTTGTCATCATTTTATATCTTCTCAAAAATATTTTTGTGTTTTTAGCGTGATGGGTGTCCAAAAATTGTGAATCTGGGTAGCTCAAAGACAGACTTGTTCTACGAACGGAAAAAATATGGCTTTAAAAAGAGGTAGCGATGACGTACGACCACCTGAAGATGTCAATTTTATAGGTGGTCATTATAAAACTTGTGTATATCTCTTGGATTTTTTCTGAGTTTTCAAGTGTATTTTAAAAAATAAACAGGAGAAACAGTTGAAAGTGTTTGTTGCTGTTGTCAGTAGCGGAGTACAAATGTTTCCTTTTGTTTTTTAAGATTTTAATGTTGAACTCCTTGCATCAATGGCTAAGGTATATTGAACCAAATACTTCACTAAATAGTTACAATGAGCTTTGTAAGAATGACCATTCACATTTATCTGTCTATTATGACTTGCTTTTTAATTAACCAGAGTTTTTTAAGTCCAAGACTTTGGGATGCATCCAGGCCATGGCAAGTAACCAGATGAAAGAAACGTCCATTTTGAGTAGGTTACAATGAAATTATTACATTTTAATCCTACTTAACCTCAGATTAACAGCTTGTTTACATACTGTTCACAACCAGTATTATACATTTTGTTTGTTACAACATTGTAGTTCATAGGCATAATGGCATAATTTTTATGGGGGAGCATGTCCCCCAGACTTTTTCAAAGAGAGAGAGAGTACCTTCTTGCCTACCTAGATAAAGAAACTGTTTCCCACACACATCTGAAACCAAAGTTACAACACTGCTCAGAATAAAGAATTAATAGTTGAGTAAAATTGAATAATTTTCTATGTAAAATACCTCCATAATTAGTGGGTTTAATTTTAATGTTTATGCTATATTTGAATTAATTTTTTTAGTATGACTTGTACGTTATTGAGTGCATAAATAGCTTAGAAAAATGTGTGAAAAGCTGATGTGGTAGTTGTAGGATTAAATAAGTCAGGTTTTGTACAGGGTGTCCCAGAAGTCTGGACCCATAGGGAAAATAGACATGATATTCTTCAAGTTAAACAAACACATTTCTAATGTCAAGTTGTACATATTTCAGGAAATAAAATACCCTAATGGCACAGCTGTTAATGGCATGAAATTTGAATAATAAATAAATTGTGTATTTTTCCCTATGGGTCTGAACTTGTGGGACATCCTGAGTGATGTAGAGTCTTATCGAACATAGGTTATCATCTTAGTTCTTGTTCTTTGGACAAATGAAAAATGGCTTCTGAGGAAATTCTCAAAAGTAGTAGATGTGTAAAGATTACATATTGATACACAGCTTTATATACAGAAACCTTAAATAGTGTATTGTCTTAGATATCGTATTAAGCCATAATCAACCAGTGTGTCTTGTAAAAACCGGTACGACTTGTATATAACAATCGTCACAGAGGGATTTGTACCTTTTCAGTGCTTAATTAATTATTTTTAGTAGAAACCATTGTCTTCGAAGTGGAAAAATTACGTATTCAATTAACACTAGTGATCTGAAACAGAAAAACTACAAACTTTAAAGTAAGTTAGAATATCAGTGACTCGTGTTTTACTGCAGATGAGTTAATGAAATATTTCATCTTAAAAAAAACTTGAATGTATTTGTGATTGTTCAAACTGTTGTTTTTTAACTGGTCTTTCTTATGAGTAAATAAGGTTTTTTTATTTACCCATCAGTTTATCTAAATAAATGAATATTTCTTCATGAACTTTGGACTGATGACAGGACATATTAAAGACTTCTTGTGTTCCAACCAAAACTTATCTTTAAAGACAAAAATGTACATGACATCTGCACAGAGTTTTATGAATTAATGAACAGTAAATAGAATATATTTCCTTAGTAAACAAACACACCCAATCTGAGGGACTGAAACATGGTGCCAAACCTGCTCGTCCTCTCAGCTGTGGGGACATTATTAACTTTTCTTCTATTGAAAATATCAAATTAGAGATGAAGTAAATAACCTTAGTAGCTTTGACATAAACAAACAACACAGTTAAAGAATTTATTAAGAGTATCCAAATAGCCATAAATTATAATCATTATTAAACAAATGCAAAGTTAAATAACAGAAAAGTTTGTGAAAACCTAAATAGAAATTGAACTAAAGACAAAGTGTGACATGAAATGACTAGTTCAGTTTAATAAATATATTTAATGGTTAAAAAACTTGTAATCGGATATTTCTATTTGGAGTTTAACTTGGACAAGGTGTGACCTGGTGGTTAGCATGTTGGCTTGTGAATCTGATGGTTCATGGTTCGTGTACCGTTGTCGCAAAAATTGTGCTCTACTCTGGGACTGTGTGTAAGTTATGAGAGTAATAAATAAATACTGCTTTGATTAGAGCAGCCTAAGAGTTAGCGGACAGCTATTCACAAATTTAAACAAACATTTAATAGGAAGAATAGATACAGCTTTAGTGAGAAGTTAGAAATGGAAACAGTACAGTAACAACGTATCATAACAATTCTTTCTACACTAACAATACACAAATGTAAACAGTACAGTAACATAGTATCGTAACAGTTCTTTCTACACTAACAATACACAAATGTAAACAGTACAGTAACAATGTGTCATAACAGTTCTTTCTACACTAACAATACACAAATGTAAACAGTACAGTAAAATAGTATCATAACAGTTCTTTCTACACTAACAATACACAAATGTAAACAGTAGAGTAACAACTTACCACAACAGTTCTTTCTACACTAACAATAC